TAATATAAGATGCATAAGGCATCGAAAACTTAAAAATGGTGGTAAGACACTCTTGGTAAAAAGTAGTTTTTTTAATTCCGGAGAGAAAGGGAATAAGGGTTCGTTTTTAGTATTTTAAAATCATTTTCTGTAAAATAAATAAGTAATTGAAAATTTTCATATACTTAAAATAATTTTCTTGGAAATAAGTAATTCTGTACAAAATTGGTATAATCGTCATGCCAAAAATGTGTTAGCCAAGAATAATTAACTATCGATTATTGTTATTATAAACTAAACTGTTATATAGTTTTAATCCTATATGAGCATTTTCGATTCCACTTCGCAATTGAATTTAAAAAAAAAACTTAATTTTTTTTTATATAATTATCATTCAAGACTCATAGAAAATTCATTTTAGCATTTTTACATTTAAACTATTTTGTATTAACCCGTTAATTACCCTGGTTCTCAAAGTGAGACCAAAAAACTATTAAAATCTCTATAAAGTACCTATATTTAATTAAGTTTAACAAATAATATTATTAATTATTTAAAAAACCATTATTATTTGAATAAAATTAAAAATGTTAGAATATTTCTAATAAAAAATTTAGTATTCAGTTTAGGGTTAAAGAGGAGTTAAATTTTTTTAAGTAATAATTCCTATTATTCATTTTTTTTCTGCCAAATATTTATTTATATATGTATGTATATAATTTACTTATGATATGGTTGAATTATTTTGTAAAGAGCCGTCAAATATGTAGTCTATATTCAAAGGTAAATCATGTATATTTTAATTTACTTGTGTAAATTCAAACAATTTACGTTATATACACTTTATACTATTGCAAGTATTACGTACATAATGTAATAACTGTGTATATTGACATATACACTATTTACTCATATATAAGAGTACATTTGTGTGTAAGTAGATATGTAATGTGTGTATCTACAATAAAAGTTTACATAAATTTTTATATGTATTTTAAAAATGTTATGGGAAAATAACATTGTTATTTGTTATAAAATTAAACACATATTTTATATTTATATACATACATAATTTAATTTTCTTTGGAAACCATTGTATATTTACAGTTTATTAAAATTTTATTTATTTAAAAAATGAAAAAAATAAAAAGCAATTGACATGGAAAAATCATTTAAGAAAATATTTATTCTTCATTTTTATTTCTCTCTGTGTAAGTACTCCCCATTTATCGAGTGAATATTTAAGAGAACAAACATATGTATTAAGAAAGATCACAATTTTCTATTAGTAATTCCTTGGATCAGTGTAATTTTAAATGTTTAATTTAGTTATGAGATGTTTTAATAGAAAAATGGCTCAACATGTCTGTGTAATCATTGATTATTGATTGAAAAATAAGTATAGAAATTCACATTAGATTTATATATGTATACGACGGCGGCGGTTAGTTCATAAATGAAAGCAACTTTTATATTCTGTTTTTATGTTAAAATATGGGCACTTTATTAATATTATTTATTAAGTCAATAATAACAGTAACAGTAATGTATAATTCATTTCAATTTAAGAAGATTAGAATATAATTATATATCGTAATTTATTTATCGTATATCGTAAATTATGATTGCGATAAAGGCAGACATACCTACAATTCGATTCGCTTAAATACAATTCGCTATACTGATTAATCGACAATCGGTTACTTTTCAATTCCAATTATGCAACTTAGTTAGAATTTCAATTCGATTCTTTGAAAAATTTTAAATGTACCACAATGCATTTAGAGCACATACCCATATAAAAGATTTTGGAGTACCATGGTTTTTTCAAATGAAATTTCTGTTGTTTTCATTTTGATGCCATATTATTTCTTAGTATATGCTAAAATTATAGCTTAAATATCAAAAATGAAAATTTTCAGGTTAGTGGAAAATTGCTTGGTACACTCTTGGTACAAATTCCAAAATTTCTTATTTATGATATCTTGTTATTAGTGCCGTTGTAGTTGCTTCGAAGTGATATTTCTGATTAAAGCGAAATATTTATTTTAAGTTTACTTAGCGTTATGGCTTTCATTTACACGAAACACTTTTACATTGCGCATAGAAAAAATTAATGGTTTATGTTAATTCATGTTAAGTGCATTATTGCTTACGTATTTCAATATTATATATAGAAGCTTTTACTAATGTAATTAACTCTAATGTATATGATAATATGTAATATTATTAAAAAATATTAACTCATATATTAAATATAAGAGTCGGTTGCAATTAATAAAAATATAATTAACTTTTCAATAAGCTCCATTAGAATCAAAGACTGAATTACCTATGCCATTTAGTATTCAATTAAATTCGACTTAAACGATTATAATTGTAGATGTTTTAATATATTAATTATGTAGAATATTCATTCTGTTACCAATACATGAGTTTATTCATAAAATATATTAAATCCCATAGTCAATGGGTAAATTTACATAAGTATTATTAGGTATTTACTCTCTTACTCACTCGTTTATATATACTCAATTTATATATACTTAATGTTGAATACTATTTGAATATTGAATTTTAAAATTTTAATGTGCACTATTCTATTTAATACTAAAATAATATTTACTTAAAAGCATTTAACTATTTTCCTTTTTTTTTTTGATTTTTGTAACTTTTTAAAATCTTAATATTGCATTTAACTATACATGAAATGATATAGGAAAATATTAAATATAATTAAATGTCAAATTAAATTTCATTGAATATTTTTGAATTTTTAAGATAATTTTAAATGGTATTAAGTATAGTAAATATAAGCTTAAGATATACGAAATTATAAATATATTACCGTAGATTTTTTACTATACAATACAAAAATTTCGATATATTATGTGTATATATAAATATTGTAATAGTTAGTGCTATTTGAGTTTGTTGAAAGAAATGTTTAAATAGGGAAATGGAAAAGTACCCATACCTTAAGTGGTATAATATAAGTAATTCGAAAGTAAACAGTGATAGGAAAAGTATGAACAAAAAGTACATCTTGTTATATTTTTCTTTTTCAAAATATCAATAAAGATTTCATACGATATTTACTATATTATGAACTGAATGGTATTAGAATAAATTAATGGAGAATCAGTCCTTTCAATATGTCGGTTATTAAAAATAAAAGAGAGGAAAAAATTCTCTAATTAATTAATCTGGTGTGATGAAATAATACTAGTTTTTGTGCTAATTATATGATCCTTAAGAATCTCGTAAAAACCCCAGGAGAATTTGTTTCAAAGAAGAAAACCAAACTGACTGGCTGAGGTAGTGAGATATGAACCAATGGACTTGACATATTATGCATATATTTAAGTTCAAGCTTATACGCTATTATGAAAATATTGCTTTAATTTATAAATGCGTAATGGCGATTTGTCAACAACTTCTCTTCATCTATCAAATTGTGATCTTCATGTGTCAAATTACAGACTTCATATTTCAAAAACATTGCCTTCATCTGTTAAGTTACTGTCGAATCATGTAACTTCATTTAACTATTTTATTATTTATTATTTTTCGCAATTTGTAAAAATCTCAACAATATTGTTGAAACATTGATTGCAACTCATTTCTCCTGTTACATTTTAGTATATTAGAGAAGAATATTTGACACCGTAAAAAAGGTATTTTATGTATATATTAAATTGAGTGTTTATAAATTATTCGGACTGTACTCTTTATTCGCTGAAAATTATAAAATAAATATTCTCGTCTTATCTATAATTTTTTTTTTAGATTATAATGTTTAGATTTGCTTGTATACTATATTATATATTAACATATTTTCGCTATATCATAATTTACGCAAATATTCAAACAAATATTCATTTAAAATTGAGTAATTGAATGTATTTAGGAAAATATTGGCAAATGAAGGAATCGGAAGAATGATTCAAATATTTTAAGATTTCGCATAATTATTTTCGACAGTTTTTTTAAAAATTCGATATTCTAGACTAAAGTACGGGCCTCCCAAAGCTCATTTTATTCACACAAGATGAGCAATCAAATGTTAGACAATAAAAATTCTGGTTATAAGAAAAATAAGCCCATATGTATAATTTCTCTTGGTTTATAAGTCAAATGTTATTCTAAATATTTCAAAATTGGAAATTTTCCTTAAATGTATAGTTGATTTTAATTCATTAACAGAAATTTCTTTCTTCTTGTAAATTTTTTTAAGAAATTTTTATTTTACAAGAAAAATATCAAGTACAAATCTTAATAATGTTGTTAAACATATTCTTTTAGTTTTATAACTTTTAAGACAACACAATTTTAACTACAAGAAATTCAACTACCTATATTATAATCTACATACCCAACACAAACTCATTTTAACAACTATAAAATGTTAATAAAAATATTGTTATAAAAACACAACTCTAAAAGAACACAATAAAGTTTGTATAGTTCATTTAATTACAAGTTTACATAAGTCATTTATTTGTATAATTAACAGTTATTAAGAAAAAAATATGTCTACATTTTAAGTATAGTAATAATAATTTTCCTCCTTATGAAATAAAACATTATAGATCATAAGTTTAAACTCGTGCTATTAACGTTGCCACGTGATAAGATCACCAAATTTCTCTAGAGTAACATATTTAAAATAATAACATTTTTATGGGGAAAATTTTGAGGTTAGTTCATTAGAACAACTAAAATAATTATGATATTAAAATAAGGAAATCTACTCATTTTCTCTAATATACCATGAAATACAAAAGGTGATATAAAAGAGCCTTTGTAGAAATTAAAAAAAAAAAACGTGTTAACAGCTCTACTGAGCTACTGTTTGAGTAGTTGAAAATTTAATGACATTTAGAGTTTTTATTCTCACCGCTTTATTCTTTGTTTTTAGTTTTATACAAATTATAAAACAAAGTTATACAGAATATTAAAAATTTTAATTAAATTTTATTTTAAATTTTCTCTTTTTTTTTCTATTTAATATTATATAGAACACTATTTCATCAAATCCTCCATCTTCTCCATCACCTGTTGTATTAACATCATTATCACAACAACAACCGCCATCAACATTATCATCATCATTGAGTAGTAGTAGTAATAATAGTACAACTCAATCATCAACAATAATGGCTGTTACATCAACTGTACCACCGGGTGCACGTAGTACATCACCATGTTCAGCTGCAACCGCTGGTGGACCATATGGTCAACCAACACCATCAACACCAACATCAACAGGTAGATGCTGTGATACAGGTAGAACAATATTTACTGATCCAGTTACTGGACAAACATTATGCTCTTGTCAATATGATTTATTAAATTATCCAAGACTGGCAGCAGCTGGTGCTGGTATACCAGTTGGTCCAGGTGGTGTACCATTAGGTGTATATCCAGAAGGTGTTGCTGCATATTTATCAAGTATGGGAGCTGATCAACCGCCATTTTATCCAAATCCGGTAAGTTTTAATTTTTATGTTTTTCTTTTTTATAATTGATATATTATATACATATGTATGTGGGGCGGATTAGGGGGAATTAAATAAATAATATCAATGCCGAGATTATCAGTGATTTTGTGAATTTTAATTTGTTAATTTCTATAATTCTATTTGTCTTATTGTTGAATATTATTGAATTGATTAAAATATTCAAGTTTCAAAGAACTTTTTGCCGACTGTTTCGATAATTCTTATTCTTTTTGATATTTGAATCTCTTCAGAATTTTACCGCTGATAACGTCAACACTTCGATTCGTAATTTAATTGCTTATTTTTTCTTTCTTTTTGTTTTCTTAAATAATGTATGATGCAATGCAAAATTGTAAACTCATGTAGCGACTAAAGTGATTGACCACCCAATGATTTTTGATTCTTAATTTATTTTTTCAATTTTTAATTATTAAAATACATTCAATAACAATGTGCAAAGATTATTAATTAAGTATTTCCAAAAGAATTGTATATTGTGGCAACAAAAAAAGTAAACAATAATATAAGATCTTTAATTTTTGTATCGATGTTAAAATATTAACGCGTCTGCATTGTGTTACAAGAGCGTTCTTTTAGAACAATATTTATAAGCAATGAATAATTTTATGATTGGAATTGTGAATATTTTAATTGTATTGTTAATTTTGAATAAAATTTATCGGAGATTTAAATGAAATTATTTTTAAAATTAAACTTTAAAGAATTTGGAATCGTAGATGAGGATCTTGTATTTATATTTAAATATTTGAGGCTTTATTTTTTATTTCGTTTTTTACTCATTTAATTTGTCCTCATTGAAGAAAAATTTTGCTCAAACTGTATTATAATCTGTTATACATCAGAGTTCTAACAAAAATTTGATTCGAGAAAATATTATTATAAAATTTGTTATAAATATTCTCTATATTAATGAGTTTTATTAGTATGGTATGATTAATTTTTAGTACAACAGTACTAAATTTTTAGTATATTTGTACTAATTTTTAGTACATCTATAATAAATATTCTAAGCTATTACTATATGTACTAATTATGAAAAATAGCAAGATGTTTTCATATATCACCAGATTCTTATCAATTTTTATCAGATTCAATTCAATTTTTATCATATTAAGTACACATAAGTCTTTATTTTTAGTACAATTATTATTAAGTATGTACTCACTCAATTAATTATGTTATTAGTATTTTATAACATTTTTATACATTAAGAATAACAACCAAATTAACAAAGATATTATAAACAATATGCAATTGAAATATTTTAAATGCCAGCAATAATTGTAATTGTATGACTCTATTTTAAATTGTTATCCTTATTTCTATCCTTTATAAGAAAATGAAATTGAATTCTTAATTTAGAAAAAAAAATGTTTTTCTGTAACTGCTTTCCTTATAATTAAAGGGAAAACATGATTTTTGTATAAAGTGTATACCAGGTTTTTACCACCCGCTATGAAACATCTTCGTACACAATTTTTTATTATGGTTATTTTGATTTTTTTGGCCAAAACGTGTGTCACTTCAATAAAACCTTAAATAAAATCAAAAAAAATATTTTAAAAAAGATCACATATTTTTCATTTTTTTTACTTATTTTATGTGAAAACAATAGCTTATAACTGTCTGTCCTCTTTTTGCAAAAATATATTTCAATTTCCTTAAAAATTTTTAAGAATTATAAAAAATAAATTAGAAAATCAATGCAAAACCAATACAAATTGTAACCAAAACAGCAAAAAAAAGCACACAAAAATCCTGGTATGAAGAAAAAAGTCATTGAAATTTATTTGTTTTTTTTTTTTGTTTGTTTTTATCATTTTGTTAAGAACTACAACAACATGGGATATCCATGTTAGCCACCCGCTGTTATTAACAAGATTTCTGTCTTAAGAATTAACAAAAAAAACTGGTGTTTTTGGTGTTTGGCATTTCCTTTGATTTTCTTGTGATTAGAAACCTGCATAATACCAAAAAAATACAGACAATGGGTTAATGATTCTTTTTTCATTGTTGCTATTTAAATGCTCCTTTCTTTCTTTCTTTTTGTGTATTTTGCTTGCATTTATTGTGCACGAAAATGTCATATTTCACAGCAATATTGTCAAAAAAAAAAATGAAGAAAACAAAAAATTCATATGTGTATATTTACGATGAATACGATAAAAGAACAAAAATTTAAAATTGCATGTATGTGTTCGAAAATTTTGTGACAGGAATGCTTTAACTTATTTTGCAGTACAATTGTTTAGTACTTTATACTTTGCGCAGTTTTCTTGTGTTTTAAGCAGCAAAATTCATGAATTTGTATGAAAGTAATTGGCGTTAGTAAAAATTTCTGCAAATTTCAGTTGAAATTTCACTCGCAGACTGTAAATCGACAATCCGTGTTAAAGATATTACTACAGTGATTTTGTCATACTATTAATTTAATACAAATTAAAAAAAAAACCCCACATGGAAGTTCATGTATCAATGAAAAATCAGTTGGGACGAAAATTTTGTATGAAAATTCAAAAACCTATGAATTTTAATAAGTCACTGTTTTGAATTTAGTGTTACAATAATTTTAAGTTAATTAGAGCCTCTTTATGAAATAAATTTACTTCTTGCTACGATTACGTTCATATCAGGGCCACTTTTAAGGACTAGAAAAGCAAAGATAGATTAGGGCTTCGTTTTCTTGAATTGAAGTACAATTTTCAGTATAGGTTTTCTGTTATTATGAATAATTGTAAATTTTCGAATTATAAATTACAAAACTTAACCACAAATTAACTTCGTTCAAGTACAATTTTTTTAGTACAATTTCCGTACACTGAAAAAACACATTTTTACGAGTACTATGACTACTCCACAATTTTACTTGTTTTTATACAAGACAAGACAATCATTTTTTATTATTACTATTATTACTTTACTAGCTAATGGTGAATGCATTCTCATAACTGATATTTTCTTACTTCTTTTTACAATTTTTCTTTTTCCAAATGATTTTTTTTTTTGTTTTTTTGTAAAGGAAAAGTGCAAAACAAAACTATTCACTTTCAATTCAAATGTTCAACAATTCAATGTTAAAATTTAATGTTTTGTTAGCGTACCCAATGTATGAATAGTTAAGAAAGACAAATTATACCACAATTGAACAACAAAGTAAAATTGAATGTTGTATATTATATGCTTGGGTATACCTAAATAATAGTACTGTTGGTTTCATCTAGGGTGGTCAACTTAAAATAGACCTCAAAAAAAAAATTTTTTTTTATTCAACATTTTTATATAGAAAAAGTCAAAAATACAATATAACTAATTTAAGAAAAAAAAGTCAGAAATGAAGTAAAAAATGTTTTCTTTGAAAAAAATTAAAATTGTTGTACATAAAGATGTTAAGTGCGGTAATATGCAGCAAATATTGCAAAATAAAAAACAGAATGACTTATTTAGACAGTAAATTTTTTTATAATATAAGTACAATCTAATGTGTGGCATAAAATCGACAATTATATTTAAATTAGGGTTTTTGTTATTTTAACTTAAATAAATTGCATTTGATTTAATAGATGCGGAAATATTTTTTAATAATTAATTAGAATTAATTATAGAAGTGTATTACGTTTATGTAAAACGTAAAATATATTCTAAGAAAAATAACTTTGTTATTCTAAGAAAAATCCTCCTATAAAATTTCCTTTAAGCGAATATTACAGGACACAACCTCTCAGAAAAGTATACAAATTAAACATAGCACGCATGCGTATTTGTGAATACGAACACGCATGCGTATTTATGTACATACGCGCTTGCGTACTCATAAATACATAGGATAGGCATAATATAACAAAATTTTTGCGTGTCCAATATACTGTAATTTTTTAGGCACATACGTTATTTACATACATACTTATACGCACAATTTCTGTGATATTTATGTTATTAGAGGTGAAAGCACGCGTTAACATTAAATTGTAAGCAATTTATTTAAAATTCAAATAATATTATAGTAATAAATATATTAATTTCCCAAAATTTAAGGTAGTATTAAAAATCAGGCTTAAAAAGACAGACTTTTCTTTACAATATCAAATAATAAACAAAAAATTTACTATAAATTGTACGATTTTAAAAATTAAGTCAAAAGCTTAAGGCACACATTGGAAAATTTTCTAAAATTGTCCAAAACTGAATAAGATACAAATTATTGAATTTCCTTGGCATATTTGAATTAAATGCATTTAAATGTGACAAATTTTCAAATTGGTCATCTGTAGAAATATATCAAATAACTCTCCTGCAAATTTAACAAATTTGAACAAATGTGACCATGTTGTCATGATATTCTTTGGAGAACTGTATACCAACTGAACAACTATAAAATTAACACTGTTTTTATAGTTTGATATTTGGTGCATTAATTGATTCAATTACGAAGCGAGTTTTTTTTTTGAAAACTTCTCAATTTTTGGAATAGGTTGTGCAATATCAAGAGTATATCATTGCTCTGAATAGATTGTAGATTGTTTTGAATAATTTTTGTGACCGTTTTAATCTCCATCTAAAAACTACGGCTATTAAAGGTTTAAAGAGCATTTTTTTTTATGGAAATTTAGTAAAGACATACAGATTTCCGTAATTTATCAAGAGTAGATTATTTTTTCTTGCTTTCGCCTTAATATTCAAACAGTCATCCTTTTGTTAACAAAAATAAATATAATATAAAAAATAAAATGCTTTTTCTTTAGTGTTATAATGGTGTGGCATATATTGTTAACAAAACTTCTTTATTTCATTCTAAGTACAAAAGTATAATCATACAAAAACTAAAAGAAAAGTTGTTAAGAATAAGATGACAAAAAAAAAGCAGTTACATTATTTAAGTATTGTAATAAATATTTTCTACAACAACAGTATAGTTGTTAAATTAACAACATTAGCTTTCAACATTAAATCTTTTTTTTTCTCATATTGTT